AGTATCTCAGTTAAGCTGCATTAGACGGCTGTTTCAGTGCGATAGTAGCCCCAAAAGGGGAAACAACTCTTCACTCAATCCTCTCCAGCTCCCTCCAACCATATTTTTTTAGCATGATCAATTGTTACTGTTGGCTTCTGCTGGCTTTGTGTCTACTTCCAGGGTAATTTTCTGTGTACAGAGAGGGGGTTTGAGATAGCCTGCCCTGGAAGGAGGCAGGGGCAGGCTACCTCGCATCTATTATGAGATGCGGGAAGGCAGGAACATGCAAGTAGATGTATATGTCTTACAGTGACACAGAACAACTGGGGCAAGATAAGGTACTGTTCCTTATCTTGAGCAATAATCTGTGTGTGTGTTGAAGTCTGGAGAGGTTCCAGTAATGGCCTGTGTTAGGGATCTTGTGGCTTCCCATCGCTAGTAGGGATCGTGCTGGAGCACAGACAGTTTACCCTACCTCCTCGGTGTGGGGGGATGGAGACAGCGGGGGGGAAACGTGAACAAACCTTGCTCATTAAATAGGAAAAAAGATACTGATGCTAGGTAAGCATTCATATACACCTGTTCAAAACCTGTTCAGGCCAGCAACTGCAAGGAAGTTCCTCCCAATTTACTACAGCAGAACTGAACTGAAAAGCATGCTCCTTTTTAATTAGGAGGAAGTATCTTTTAATCAGCAAGCAGAGTGCTGTCAGATGTAGTGCCTGAAAAGAGGACTTTGCTCAGAGCTGGGAAGGAGCCTGTTTGTAGGCTGTGTCTAAAGCATGTTGCAGGCCTTATAATTTCTAAACTCCTTAGAGGAAGGGTCTCAGTGTTTATTTATTGCAGTGCTCTAGTTAGGCAGCTTCCTATTGGAAAGGTGTAGTTTTTCTTCTAGCTCTGTTGCTCAGTGACATTGTAGATGAAACATTTTGTCTTCCCTGTGAATTGTTGCAAGGCCAGGTCATGTGTGAACAAGTGCATGGACATCATGTTACAAAGTTCATCCAAGGAATGCTTGGCTGTATGAAACGAACTCCTAATAAGCAGCTTTGACTTGGGAATTTCATTGGAAAGCAGATTTAGGTGGATATATTCTTTCACCCTTTCTTAAAACACATCTCAGCTGCTCTCCTGCTGTCTCGTACGCGTTCGTTGTGGTACCAGGCACAGGAGCGCTTAATCGTTTTACAAGGCAGCCAAATACAAATTACAAAGCCAATTAACAAATACTTTCATCTACAAGATTTGTACTGCAGCTTGGCTCTGTCCATAGGCAGACTAGGACAGAGGGTGCAAAGTACTTGAGCGTATGCCCAATTTCCATGACTGTAAATGACACTTCAGCACAGGCTTAAATGCCGTTCCCCAGCTTGAGGGAAAAGTCTTCCTCCTAACCAGGGCACTGGCTAATGGACTAGGAGATCAGCTCCCGGTTGTGCTGCAGATGTCTTCTGTGACCTTGACCAAGTTTCTTACTCTGTGCTTTAAACTGAAATGAGGATGCTATCTCTTTTTTGCTCTTCTCTACCTGTTTAGATAGCAAATTCTTCAAGATTAGGTTATATAGAGCAAGAGGGTCTTTACAGCAGCAAAATTCATATACTTGTATTAGGGCTAATATCTCCCTGCAATCAGAGAGATAGGGAGAGGATCCACCCTCAAGTTGTTTAAATAGGTTTCTCCTGTGAATCACTCCATAGAGGAACCACCGTCAACCCACTTTGTGTCTAATGTAATAAAGCTGCAGTCCTGACTGAGCTGTCAGGGTATTAATGATTAACATGGGTATTTTCAGAACCGCACTGAGGTTCCTGAATAATGTTGGTAGTAATAATAATTAGCAGTTTGAGGCACCTTACACCGTGTATAATACAATTTATCCCAGAATACTTAAAAGAATATAGTCTCTTGGTCTGCAGATGGCTGAAATGCAGCCAATTCTGGGATGAAACAAAGTTACTGTTTTAGTACCATGCAGCAAAGCTGTGTGACCTTTTAGGACAGAAAGTGAATAAGAAGATTGTTCCATCCCTCCAAGTTTGTGCACCAGCTTTTTATACTGGAGAAGGAAGTTAATAGAATAGCTAGTTGCACCAAGCTATTGCTCTTCTCGCCTATTCCAGGTGGGCCTACTTTAAGAGAGAAAGTAATTAGCCAGCATTTACTGAGACGGCAAAATGGGAGGAAAAAAAAGAAAAGCCCAAGAAGGCACCTCATCCATTCATGCAGAGATCTTAGTGTGCTCATATATTTCTTAATCCTATTCTTCCAGCTGCTTTAAATTATAGTTCAGCAAGGTATTAAACAGACATGACTTCGAACATGAGCAGAAAAAAGGACACAAATGGGGCAATTCTATGCATAATAAACCATGCCTGTCATTCAGAGACCCTGTTCATTCTCAGACTGAAACCACAGTTAAAAAGCAATTCATAAAAACATCACAGTCTTATTCAGCAGATCTCCCCCCGTTGCATTTTACTCCTGGTATGGCCTCACAGAACGAACGAGGTTAAAAGAGCATGTTATTAATTAAGGATTAGTCAGTTCTAGCTGGGCAGGCCAACTGGAGTCCAGAGGGGTCTCTGGTAGCCTAGTCCAGCCGCCAGCGCTCATATTACTGCTGATGAGATGTGAGAAGGATCAAACAAATGGAGAGAAACAGCCAGTGGCTGTGCAGATGCCCGCTGAGGCCAGCTGATGAAAAGTAAAGGGAAAGCCCCCTTTCTGTAAGAAAGCTACAAGGTTGGACTTCAACAGTTGAGTTTAGTATGAAGCCTTTGGAAGATCATTGTGCGACTAGCGTTAGTACTATGTTCCTGCCTGGTTCAGGTCTCAGCCAGCTGAGTGATCTCACTGCTAATGCGTTGTTCAGGTGCTACACAGCAGTCACTGAGAGGATAGAGATTGTCTTTATTTAAATGGACACTGTTGCTGTCTGCATCTGTTTTGGCCGGGTGCAAGGAAAATCATGTCCTTTAGATACGTCTCTTGCATTAAAGATCTTTTGGTTGAATTTGCTCTGCAGTGCTACTAGGGAAAAAAATCTAATATTAAAACTTGTTACTCAGTCAAGCTGTCCAGCTTTTTACACGACTAAAACAAGGAGCTGGAATCTGTGTTATAAGACTTCCAAAATCAATGCATTTAAATAGCATGCTTAACAACAGGATAGCAACTTCAAGTCCCTAGTTACAAGAACTTTCTCCTTAGGGTGTTGCAAGATTAGAGGCCCGTGACACGCTTAACTCCTCCAGGAGAAGGATTATTCCATGATATCTTATATATGGGAAATGCATTAGTATTTTGGTGAGGGTAGCATGTGCTTTTTCTAAGGGAGCTAAGTCAAATCAGTCACTGGATGAGAATTTCCCTCCATTTTGAGATCCTAGTTATATGTAAGCTTAATCCCTCCAGTCTGCTGCACACAGCAGGACACAATATTTAAGTCTGTAGCTGATGCTAAAGAGTTAATAAATAATTATGTGGGAGGGTAGGCAGCCCTTTGAGAAGGAATATGATTTCAGAATTCAAAAGAACTCCTGGATCTCAGGTGATTGGACTAGGAGAGATGATGGAGATTTTGTGTATGTACTTCTCTGCATACTTGCATTACATATTACTGATATGTTTTGTTCAGGTATTGCTAATGGGTCTCATTCTTCTTTGGGTAAGTGGTCTCAGTACAGAATAGGCTAGAGATGGTGCAAGTTAGAGCTACATCAGCTGAAGATCTGCTCCCAGGAGCTTGACTTCCAGAGTTCCTCATCATCCTTGTTGCTATCTTTCTTTATAGACAGTCTGCCAGTGGTTGAAACCCTTAAATCTATTTTTAGAATTGGGAAAAAATATATAGACAACTCTGTGGTTATGACTTGTGTGATATACAAAAGAGATAAGACAAGAAGGAAAAATTGTTCTTGGCTTGCATTGGTCATTGTGACCCAATATGAAATTGTTGTCCATTGAAGTTAGAAAACTTTCCCAAATAACTTTCTTTGCTTGGGCAGAGTGTGCTGCTGACTACAGACTCTAAACAAAGCTCTTCACCAAAGCTGCACTTCGTACTGTTAAAATAGAACCACCTCCAAACACATAGTTCACCTGGTATACTGCAAATGCATCTTCTCTGGGAGACTGTGGTGACGGGGATGCTGGAAAGGGATCACAGCTCTTCACACCCCCAACTGATGGGATGCAGAAATATGAAGTTAGACATGGCCAAAAGCCTCAAGCACACAGTCAAGTCACTATGGCTTAATATATGTTAGCTGATTCCTGATAGCTGCATTGTCTTAGCAAGCAAGATCCTGTTAACTAAGCCTCTTCCGTAGATATTTATGCAAATGTATGTTCTCTCCTATTTGTGATGGGATAAGAACATGCAGAGGGACAGATACAGGTGTTCAGCTGATGTGTGGAATCTCATGCAACAGCGACTTGTCAGGAATTCCCTTGCTTTGTCTGTGGAGATGTTATGACAGGAGGATTGGGAGTATCGGCAGTCACTGCCTTGATTTCCCTGCTGGTTTTCTGTGCAGAGAAGTGCCTGTCCTCTTCTCCTCCTTTCCCACAAAGTCCTTGAATGGGAGCAGCTAGGAGGGTGGGCTTGCGGGGAGCATAATACAGGAGTCAACCTTGCTCAATTTGCCTTTTGTCCAGCTCCAGGCTTCTCAGTATGAAAAAAGAAAAATAAGAGCACAGCCCCTACAGGGCTTGAATGAAAGCCCACTGAGGGCTTGGAAGCAGTCCCTGTGTTGCTGAGATTTCACTGTGGGTCTCCATTATGACATTTGGAAAATTTTGCTCCAGAGTTCCTCAGAGCTTTGTTATGAGGTTCGCTAAGACACGGATGCACAAGGGGCATCTTAATATCTTTGCATTCTGTGGAGAGGAGTCCAAGGAGAGCTTGCTGCCCATACAAATGAATGACCAAAAACTATGACTTCCTTTTATAACTTTCCCCTCCCTTCTTTGGGTAATCTAACAGTTTGTATTTCTTCTGCTTCCTTATGCAGGAACTACCTCTTCAGACTTAGTCTGCACAACGTTTCTCTTATTCAGGTACGTTCACATTTTACTCTCTTGTTTTATTTGAGTTGCTAATGAATGTTCTGTAATATTTGATGTACTTTTTCAAAAGGCCGTAGAGTGTAAATTTGCCCAGAGTGAGGGAGCAGGGAGAAGAACAAAGTCAAAATCAGATGCTTATTCCCACTCAGAAGATAATGCTGGGGGAATGGTACTTGCCCATTTGGACAACACCCTGCTCTTGATTCTTGAGTGTTTGAGTGGTAAAGGGATGTGCCAAAAATACGGCATCTTAAAGGAACCAAGCAGGTAGTGAGACCAATAGTTGGTACAGGCTTAAACACAGCAGTCAAAAGAAATCCTTGGCTTTCTTTAGAGGAGATGTCGGCAACATGCAGGAAAAGCTTTTACTATTCTTGTCCATCCTCATTTTCAGCCTTTGTTGGCCTTTTTGAACACAGACTGCTGAAGAGCTGTGTTTTACTGCGTGCATTGCTAAAAACAAGATTGGACTTGCAAACGTTCAGGAGGCAAGACTAGTTGCAAAATGTGTGTTACCTATAGCACAATGGAGGCAAAGCAGCTGAAGTTTGAAAGGATTTGCAAATATCCGGCAGAATTAGGACTTTTCTCCTATTGTACTGACTCTGGAATTGAAAGATGCAGCAAAAATTGTTAGTAAAAAACCCAACTTTACGTAAATAAATGCGTATACTCTGGGATATTTACTATCTTCTGTGATTGCTAGAGACCCAAAGATGAGTTCAGCAATTTTCAAACAGAAGAGCCTTCCTCCAGAACCTGGCTATGCAACAAGCCACTAGGCTGGTATTACCAGCCATTCCCATGTACACTGCATGCTGTCAGCAGGAGACACAAGTATAGATGGAGAGAAGAAAAGATGTTTAATGGTTGTAAAATGCATTAAATCTTTCTTTGAAAGGAAAACAAAGTCTGGAGTTACCAATGACAACAACAAAGAGTTAGAGAAGCTGATACTCCCATTTGGCAGGAGTTTCCCTTTGCAGAGCCATACTAGCATGGCTGGAAGGATTCCAGCAAGTGCACAGGAGAGGGAAGTCTCTGTAGTTACGCGAGGTGCCGTACCTTCTACAATGTCTGTTACCACACTGCCTAACACAGCCTCTTGTGCTTGTCGGAGGAGGGATTGCTTTCCTCCGAACCCAACTCTGAATATGCCTTATACAGCTCTGAAGTCAGGCTGAGCTTGGGCCCTTTTCACTGCAGTGAATTTCTTTTCCTACTCCGCAAAAAAATGGGAAGTCTCCTTTTATGGAACTGGAGGATGCTGTGGGATCTCCGGTTAACATAATGAGCTTAGTTTGCTCCTGCTTTCTGGGTGTATCCGGCCACTTTGCCAAGACTTTTTGCATGACAAAGAAAGCATGGAATTATGTTGACACACGTGTTGGGAATGATGGAAGTGATTGTTTCCCGACCTAATGGTTGCCTAAGTAGCTACTTGGCTTGTCTCCATAAAGCACACGATGGTGCTTAGAGAAACCCCCTCCCGCCTTCCCTTCGCTGAGCATCATTTTAAAGATAGATCAGAAAGCTAGACAAGAAATGCAAGGAATTTGCAGTTAGATCTTTGGAAGGCAAACAGACGGTGACAATGCAGTTTAAGAAGTAATCCCAATGCTAATTTGGGATGTTTGCTATCCCCTTGTGTTTATAACTAAAATATAGCATGGATCTTGTTAGGTTGATGTGGGGTAGGTTTTCCTTCTGAGATTGAGAGTCTGATTTATTTCTGCTCATGGGACTTACTGTTCAGGTTGCCAGTGGTGCTAAATCTGCTCAAAGGTACGGGATTGTGTTGGCAAATATCTGCTCCCTCACATTCGTACTTCCGTGAGAACAGGGGAGAAACATGAGGAGCATGGTTTACAAAGACAGCAGGATATGCTGGTTGGGGGACAGAGCTTGGCAATGGGAGGAATACTCCCCTCTACAGCAGTGTTAGCTGAAGCTTGAAGTTCTCCTGTGAAGGAGACAACTCTTCTTTGCCTTTCAGTGAGGGTGGCAACAGCATCTCACTGGGACAGTGTCCCTGTGCTACTGTTTGCTAGCAGAGCAAATTTAGTACTTTAGCCTCTCATTCGGTAATGGGTAGATTTATTCACTTACTCTACATAATGCATGTTTTCCTTGCCAGTTATCTTTATTTTAACCAAAAAATGGATATTTCCTGCTATTGAGCAAGCCATAAAGTTTTTCATCACAGCATTACTTCATTCGTTGCTTTTCAATGAGAATAAATTCTTTTTCTGGATTATAATCCTCTTTATGTCTATCACAAGATCAGTGTTAACCGTGTCATTACTCTCTGATTTTAGAAAGGCTTTGAAATCTCAGACTTTAAAAGACTGTGCTCTTTCCTGCTACCTGTTGAATGATTGTGAATGGCTTTCATTTAGGCACAATATAAAACCCATTGAGATGAGCAGGAATTCTCCATCGCCTTCAAGGATGTATTCGTAAGACTGTCACTCCTGAAAATACATTTTAGGAGTCTCTAGTTCCAGCAACTAAAGTTCTGGTATTATTTCTGGATATATCGTGGACTGCCATTACTATAAATTTTAAGTTTGTAATCTGCACAGAAGATAAGACTCTGTATTAGCAGGTAGCCATTCCATGTAGTTGAAATAGGAAATTACTCCCAGGAATTTGTTACACAGAACTCTGATCTTGGACTTGCAGTAGACTCCAAGATAACAATACCCTATAGAGAGGTTAAGGTTTCAGGGGAGGGGAGGAAGAGAGGGAGATTCACGGAGTGTTTTCTTAGGATGTGTCGGTTTTTGGAATATCTTATACTTCAGTAAAGGGGTCTTTTCTTTTCTTTTCATGGCTTCCAGCTCCTTGTCTTGAATTCCTTCTCCAGCACTTTTGTCTCTGCTGTTCTACCATGTGGCAAAGTTTGCTCCTGACTTCGAATTTTCTGTTGGTTCTGCTGAGGTTGTTTCTTCATGACCTGTAACACTGAGCTTTTATGTGGGAACCAGGGGGTGGCGCAGAGCAGGAACTGAAGCAGAACAAGCTCATTTCTTACTCCAATCAGAGAAGTGGAGAATGAGAACGTCTAAAACTTTCTCTGTTGTATTTTTTTCCTTTTCTGAAATTTGTTTCAGAAATACCATTCTGGATCTGAGAAACCTTTCTCCAAATGAGTTTTAGTTGCATGAAAATCTTCGGTGGCGATTGATTTTTCTGTGAGAATTGTGGGGGATTTAAATTGCAATGTCCCAAAGGAAATTAGGGCCAAAGTATTTTGGGGGTCACTTATGTTTTTGTTACCTCAGTCGTTCTTGCCAAAATTAAGGCACCTTGTTAGAAAATTTCTGAAAATTAGTCTCTTTGAGATGCCCCAGGTGAGGTATCCAAAAGCACCTGATAATTTTTAAAACCTTAGCTTGTAGCATTAAAATTCTTGCAGCAGTCAGGAAATAATAGTTTTAAAATAGATAGTGATCTTAATCTTTTGAACAGAATCCATGCAATGTTTTATCTCCATCTTTAAAATGACCTCTTGTATGCGTTATGAGCTCTAAATTTTAGACATTTTATAGAACACATTTTTGAAATGATGTGCACTTGGAGCACATGCTGTTTAATTTATGCATGAGCCTGAAACAAAGTTAGCTCCTAATCTCCAGATTTCACACTGAGGCCATAGAAAAGTCTGGTTTATACTGGACTTTGCAATTAATAGACTAGGTGGAAGGGTCATTTTAAAAACATAAGCCTTTGAGCAAATTTTTAAAAATGCAGTATGCTAATTAGGACTTCTTACCAAGGAATGCTACTCTCTGGTGTGCATCAAAAGCAGGCTACTTGGCAGGCATTTCATAAATCCCAGTGTAGTGCCTACCTCCTGTTCACCCTGATTTTACCTGGAATTTAGAGATCTCACTAGAAGTGTGTGGGAAGTGATTTTTTTTCATCTCAAAAACCTTTTATAGCTATCGAGATATTTTGCACTGAGATGAAAATAAGACTTTTTGACATATTTGTGAAATCTGAAAGAGATAAATACATGGTTATTTGGGATGCAAGTATTCTAGGTCAAGTCGTTATCTGAACTGAGCAGAGAGAGGACTTGAATGTACATTTTACCATCTCAAGAGACTGACCTGGTTTGTTTGAAGTATATTTTTTCCTTTCCTTTATGTTTGTGACCAAAAATTCCCCTCTGGACCCAAGGGTCCCTTCTGGGCTCTCTTCTGATAAGTTTAAGCTGTTGGGGCTTCATGAAATGTTTTGATTTCAGTTATTTGCTTTAATGGAATATCTTTTCTGTAAAAGTTCCCAACCAGCCCTGTGAGGTTTTTATGCTGACTAATTATGTTATATTAGGCTAATAATATTTAAAATTACATACTTTGGGAATATATATTCCCTTTGTTAAAGGTACACTATATCTTAACAAAATATGACAGAATAAATGCATGTGCCTATTGCAAAATATTTGGAAGAGGTAAGCTGTCTCATCTTTTAAGAAAGACATAAAAAATAAAATATGCTTTAATTAACAATTCTGAAATAAATTATTTGTCCTCTTGAGTTAGGACAAGTTTAGCGACAGAGCATATTGCTTCCCAGACCGTCATAACATGGAGAGTGGTAGGGCTGCCTGTGGAGTTTGGCTCTGCCCTGGGCCCCCAAGGCTGCCAGCATCTGGCTTGCTGGATACCCCACGGCAAAACATTAACATGCTGCAAAACACAACTTTATTTGCTTTCGAGTTTTTGCCCCCAAGCTGTGAATCGATAGGATGTACATTCATGTGGGTGCTTCTGAAAATGTTACCCATTCACTAGGGTATAATTTTATGAACTTTTCAGTCCCACTGAAAGCATAAGACTAAAACACTGGCTTAAAGTTAGCAATGTGCTTAAGCAGAGGCAGCTCTGAAGGCTTGATGTGAAGCTTATGAAATCAGTTTCTTTCTGTTAATATCACTGGGTTTTGGAATGGGTGTTTTTTCAAACCTAAAGTTGGGAGAA